TGGGTTTTTTATATTTTGTTTGATTAAACAAAAAAAAAAACCTTAATGATATTTAATTTTAGATAATTTCACAAAACTGCTACAAACTGTTATTATGGGTTTCGTAGAAAATTATATATCCTAGACTACTTAGTTTTGTTATTAGAGAAAAACTATCCTAATTTTTTCATTAAACTACCATTTCTAATTAACTTTTGTTAGTGAAAGTCACCACGTGATAATAACATGATTTTATTGGATTTGGATCCTCTCCACTACAAAAAAAGTGGTGGAGAGACCACTACTTTTAATCTTAATCGTTGATTATTTAGTAGACGGTTATAATACGATCTAAATCTAATACTTACCATACCCCGTGTATTGCACTCATTCCTAATTTGCACTAAAAGAAAAAATCACAACCATCAATTAGATAATCAATAACTGTGATTATGTAGTGGTCCCTCCACTATTTTTTTTTGTAGTGGAGAGGATCCGAATCCTAAATACCCATATTGGTATTTTAATTCCATCCCATTTACCAAAAAGGTATTTTAATTAGGAAAATCTGCTTTAAGGTATTTTAATTAATTCAACTTACCAACAAGGCCCTTTTTCTCATCGGCGACCAGTTTTCCGGCGAGAGCTCGTCACGTGCGTGGCACGTGATAGCTTAAACTGTTTTTTAGCTGCTGATGTGGCACGGATTTTCTGACGTGACGGTGTTTAAAGGCGGGAATTAACCCTCTAAAAATCCCAATTCACCCAAAATAGGACAGATACGTGCCACATTAGCAGCTAAAAATCAGTTTAAGTAATCATGTGTCACGCACGTGACGAGTTCTTGCCGGAAAACTGGTCGCCGACGAGAAAAATGGCCTTGTTGGTAAGTTGAATCAATTAAAATACCTTAAAGCATGTTTGCCTAATTAAAATACCTTTTTGGTAAAAAGGGTGGAATTAAAATACCAATATGAATATTTAGCCGATTTTATTTTATTTTATTGGGAAATTTTCGCTCACTTTGTCTATATAATTAATAACATGCCAATATTCTCTATATATAGATAGTTTAAGTTATTTTGGTAAATTTTAATCCTATCAATTTTACCGCAAAAAGTAATTATTATTTTACTTATTTAGGGCCAACATATATATACCATGAGCAAGCTTACAAAATATGGAGAGTGGTACCATCTGAGTCCTGTCTCTCACCTTGCAATGTACTGTCAGTGTCACTTTCACCATAATGAGCTCAAATTGAGATGAGGTGGAAGCAATTCATTTTGTTTGGCTAGAATGCATGCATGAAATTAATGCCTCGCTACGTCCAATTTAGGTCTTGTCCTTTCGGTCCTTGCCTTTTTTGGCACGAGAATATTAGTTAGGGTATTAATCTTGAACTGTCTACTAATCAGTATATCAATTAGGAAAGTCAGTTTATAACAATATGTTATGTTAACTTCATTTTCCTAGGGACTATATTCAGATGTTCTTATATCTTATGGGACCAATGAGAATATAGGCTACTGAGGAAAAAGAGAGTAATGAAAATTGGGCTCGAAAATATTTATTAATTTGAAGAAAAAAAATTGTGATATTTTCACCTACTTTTAAGATAGTTATTAATAGTTTTAGAATAATAATTAAGGATATATAATTGTGGATAGACCCTCTGTACTATAGTTTCCAGTAAAAAAATTCCCATTCGGAGGTCTATCCGCACCAATAGAATTACAACAGTTCTGTCCACAGTTGTGTAGTAGAACATCAGGTCCATACGCAACTAATTCATGTTTAATATGCCCATGTTAAAATCATATGATATTTTATTTCTAGATATATATAGTTGATAATTAATGCATCGTCTCCATCGACACGTGTTTTCAATTAGAAATCTAAAATTTAATGTTTATATATATAAAGTACTAAATGTAATTGATAAATTTAAACTTATTGATGTTGATTTGATTTGTGTTGTAAAATATGCATCAGTCGAAGGAGAGGGTGGATGCAGCTATTGGAGACGTATTAGCAAAGCCATGGTTACCATTGCCTCTTGGATTGAAGCCTCCGTCACTTGATGGCGTATTGGTGGAGTTACAGATGCAAGGGATATCAAAAGTACCTCCACCAAAGTAGTACTTATATCTCAGTCGTATATACGATAAATCAAACTGCTATTATCGTATATATACGGTCAAGCTAGCGAGACCAAGTAACCTGTCGACTTGTCTGTCTATATCTTGATGTTTTCGTTGGAAGCTAGCTTCTCTCCCTATGGGAGTACTCTTATGTCTCTCTTAGACTGTAAAAATGATTATGTGTCAGAGAGTAAATAATTAAGCATCTTTCTTGACCCTTGCGCGCGGCTATGATCTATTAATTAATCCAGGAGATGAATGGTCATAAGACCACTTCCAACATATCGAAGTGGTTCTAATAGTATTTCCATTCCCAAACTAGCATGTTGTAGGCATTCGCAAGTACAGATCCTCTACATCTCATATTCTTTTTTTTTTTTCAATGAAAATTAATTTTATTCATTCACCATGTGAAACATTGTAGAACATCAAGAACTCCGACATTACAATCTGCCTGGATCCGAACAATCACTCTCTATATATACAATTTACATCCTCTCAAGTCTTTCTCTAAATTGCAGCGGGATTTTCTCATTCAAAATTTTTGAAAATATGGACATTTTGATTGCACGAAAGAGCCGCAGATTTCTTTCCTGCCACACAATAAACTGCAGTAGCTAGAGTCATTCTCTTAATCCTCTTCATGAATCCATTTCCCTTAAGATTATAAGCATACCAATCTAGCAAACAATTCCAATTGCAAGACCTCCAAGAAAATTTTAACTAATCCATCACACTGTTCCATACCTGAGCTGAATACTGGCAATCAAAGAACAGGTGATGACCAGTTTCCTCTCTTCGCTGCTCAAAAGGACATAGAACACATCTATTTTCATTAAGAATCCTCATTCTAATTAGCCTGTCTTGGGTTAACAATCTGGAATGAGAAGAAAGCCAGAGCACGAATGAGTGTTTTGGATAATTCCACCGCTCCCAAACTGTGCTTCGCCAGAGAACATAGGGAGCAGAGCTATTCATCATTTTGTAAATTGGGGAGATTTGAAGTTTACCATTAATGCAGCAGCTATTGATGATGTTTATAAGGTTGCTCACACCTCCAAATTTGTTCAACATCATGTTTCTAATCCTCAGGAGCTGTTTCCACATCTAGAAATTCGACAATTTTGGTTGAATTTGCCAAATATCAGACTGTTGTATATAGTTCTCATGAATCCACTTGATCCAAAGCAAGTCCTTTTTCATATGAATCATCCAAATCAGCTTAAGTGCAGCAGAGCAATTCCAATCCCTTGCTGAGAATAGATCCTAGCCACCCTGTTTTTTATCTTTGCATATATCAGTCTAAGAAACTTGGTGAATTTTGTTACTCCATAGGAATGCTGAGCACATACTATCAATTCTTTCCAGCACTTTCACAGGCAAGATGAAGTTACTTGTCTAGAAATTTTGAACACCCAATCACTACAACAGAAAAGCTAATTCGCGAGGAACAAGTTTGTCGTTAAAAGTTGAGATTTCCTCGCCGTAGTGTGTTGACGAGGAAAAAACTTTGGTCACCATTTCCTCGCGGTAGGGTGGTCAAGAAAAGTTTCTGTGAGGAATATTATAATTTCTCGCGAAATCCTTTTTGCGATGAATATATTCTTTTCTCGTTGTTACTCTTTAGCCTCGATATTTTTCCTCACCTAATCTCATACCTTTTTCATTGCTAAACTACAGTTTCCTCGCCAATGATACGTGAATAATATTTAATTTATATATAATAAAAGTTCTAAAAAACTATTTTCATCGTTGTAAGTATCTTTCAATGAGGAAACTGTTTCTCGCCAAAGGTAAATCTTTAACGAGGAAATTGATTTTCTTTATTATATGTATCTTTTTCTCATGAAAACAGTTCCTTAGTAAAGGGACTCAAAGACGAGGAAATTTAACTCAAAATATAAATAATTATCATCAATTGTCACCATAGTACATCAAAACAATTAAAATTAATAAAGCAAGCAAGTTTCTACCACAAGTAACAATGCTAGTCTAAAGCAATAACAAATGCAACACGATCAAAGAAACATTTCTCCAAGTTTAAGTTCACTTAAGAATACTAAGCTGATGGATGTTGCCTGGAAAAATTAGCCATAAACTTCTCAAACTTTTTGGCTTGCTCCTCCAATCTTTGGATACCTCATTTTGCGTATCGATCTTTTGTTATTGAGTTCCTGCAAGTTGTTGGGTCTCTTGAAGCTGTTCTTACAACTCATTATTCTTTTCAGACATTTCACTCATCAAATAACGAGAGAACCTTAATGGTGGTGGTCTAGGACCAAAACCACGGCCCTTAATGTAGCATGATTTGACTTTAAGAACTTTTGCTCAAATTTCCTCATCTGTCATTGTTCGAGTTCCATCAGGTTGAGTGGTATCTGCTCGCATCTTTATCATTTGATCCTGTAAGTAAAAAAATATATCCAGTTCAATCATATGCAACTTCTCAATTACAACCTAATCAATATAATCCTCTTTAGAACAATAATATCAATTTCACCTATATTCTTAAAATATTATAAAAGCATGCATATCATTCAAAGACATGGTCTCGAAAAACCCCAAAAAACCCCAACTTAGGATAAAGATTGCACTTACAGAACTTTTAGATGCTTTAGCTCTCCAAGACTTGATGACAATTTTCCAGTAAATCCCATGTAAGCAAGTGTTCTATAGAAAAAAAAGTATAAGAACAAATATATGCATTTTTTATGCTGTTAACTACAAGAAGAGAGGAGTAATAATAGACTAACCAGGTATTAGATCTCTAAGCATCTCGCATCATACACAATAGTATATCTAAATAGAAGGAAATACAAATTAAAATTAAATATTAAACCCTTGAGATACTCATAGTGTAACTACATTTTGGTTATTATCACAGGAAACAGAATTCCAGATGTAAGGATTGACTTGATCTTGATTCCAATCTCAAAGCTGATTGCCAACAGCATTTAGTGTAAACTTCAACTCAAGTAGAACATTCCCTGAAAACATTTGAAAATCATATTCAATGTGAGCAAAGCACTAGAAAGTAGAAAAAATATAATGGGATATAAAAAAAACATATTAAGGGTGTAGTGATGAAATACAGTTTAAAAAAGTTATTAAATGAACTGCAACCACATGTTGGCTACATTTGCAAAGCAGCAAATAAGTTGATAATCTAACTGTATTTCTAACAATTAGATAGCTGAGCATTATGACAATTATTTTTAAGAGTAGCATATGCATCACGTAAAACAAATGCAAGTCAAACAGTTGAATAGAGAATATGAGCATATTATATTCAAGCAAAAGATATTTAGCTCCATTGCATAAATTTAATTGACCTTGATAAGCGTCATAAATAATTATTGTAGCTGATACCAAATAGAAGTAAATGACAATATGAAACACACCAAAACAATAGCATGAGCAAGAATGCTTGAAGCAATAAATGGAAACATCACTGGCTCTAAAAATAATTATAAGGTAATGTTAGCCATAAGAAATGATGAGGAAGTACCATACCTTCACAATTTCAGACATATACATGTAAACTCTACATAAACAATGATATGCATGGTAAATGAAAGACAGATATGCATGCCTTATACATGTTAGACTAATAAGTACATCATATAAGCTTAAAGAATATTGAGAATACAAATTTCAAAACAAGTAATAATCCCTATTCATTAAATGGAGAACGATTGGAAGACTTGAAATGTCCTATAAAACACACAATTGTGCTCCGTTGTTAATCCCATGTCAAGGAAGAAGACTTAGACGATGATAACATGATGCCACTAACTTTCGACAGGCTCAAGCTACACTAGAACTAACTAAAGAAAGAAATGGTAAGAAACCATCATTTTCTAGATAAAACCCCACAATTTCTTAATCTCAGAACAAACAATCGTGATATTTAAGACAGCAACAAAAAACAAAAACAAAAACAAAAACAAAAGCAAAAAAGGGACATTTATCTGCAGCTAGAAAATATGAAATATTTACAAGCCCACAAGTTAAACCCTGTGCAGAAATCATCCATCATAATGCAAACCGAGCCCTCAGAATTCACTGGTCACATGTGAACTGAAGCTGCACCCTAAAGCCCATTGTTGTTAAGCAAAAAAGATGATGAGAATTCCAGCTAGAAACCCACAGTTAGTCTTATGCAATCTAGTTTTGATCTTAACTTGAAACATCCATATATTAATCTATCTACTTATCAGACTACTTACAAAAAATGAGCAGTGTGCAACTAGTAAACTATTTATATAAACCTCCATACTATTCTTACTACTTCCCAAAAGTCTAGGCTAATCTAAGGTCACAAACAATGAATAATTAGTCTTCCACTATCTTCCCTTTCTTGGAGCAATTTATCATATAACATAGTAAAAGTACGACAAATGTAATCCTCTTCATGAAACCTAGTACATTTACATAAATGGCATAGGACGACATGGACATGAAACTATTCAAATTATAATTACCAGTGTATCGAATTATAATTACCAATGTAGCAACTACCTGCTCAGGCTAGCAACAGACAGCCCATGCTCCAATGCTTCTTTACAAACATGAGATCCCACAAAGCCATTTCCACCCAACACAAGCAACTGAAAGCAAAATGCAGTTGGCATAACACAAATTTTATCACAACAAAATCATAACAAATAACCATTAAATACACAAATTATCGTTCTCTTACTTTCTCTGAAGGTGGAGGTGGCATATTAACAGTCTCTGCTTCCTGTACTTTAAAGGGCTCGTCCACTTTATTGGATTCAGTCGACAGCAACCTCCCACTCTGTGAGAAAGCGGGTATACCACTAGAAGATGGTATATATCAAAATATTGCACAAATAAAATCTAATACATTAGGCTATCATGCAATAACATTTCCAAATCTTGCTTTACACACAACACACAACATTCTAAAATCAAATTCAGAGCAGAAATTTAGCCAAAAAAATCTTAAATCAAGAAAACCCGAATTTTCATCGTTGATCGAGCAAAACTTACATCATTGGACCAAAGCTAACTTGTTCAGCTTTAGCTTACTTAATAATCAATTCACACTAACAAAAATATCAAATCTAAAGCAGAAAGACCAAAGAATTCATTGATTAGATTGAAGAAGAAGGAAAATGTATATTTAAGATGTTTATTTTTTCTGCAATTGTAACATCAAAACAAAATGTTACAGTAATTGCTTGA